CTGCAGAAGGACAAGATGGGCGAGGCATACAGTGAAATCGGAATGAAGGGAGAGGTGAGTCCTACTTTCCTTCCTGGTGAAAGCCTGGGATGAAAAGTTCTTCATTGCTGCTCCCTTACAGAGCAGTAGCCCCGGCTGCACGGCGTTGCCTTGCACAAGGAAGTCCCCATGTTGCACAGCACCTACAGGCACAGCTGGGAGCAGTTACCTCTTTCCTGTAGTACCCAGTGTGTTTGGTGCAGCAGTAAGACAGACACGTAGCTATAGCGTTACAGTAGCCATAAACCAAGGTGGAGATCAGACAGCAAGCTTTGGCCCATCAGTATTAGAAACACAGCCTGAACACCAGCAGTGTCCCTGGGCGGATTAAATAATGTCAAGGGGAAATATTTCAACTTACGGACAGAAAAATTCTGACGGCTGTCCCAGCTGAGGAGGCAGAGGGTGTGAGATGGGTGAGGAATAGTTGAAGGAAATGTCTAGTTTCAAGCACTGCAACGTCTGTGACCCAGCAACTCACATTAGTTGAGCATGTTCCTCCAGAGCAATTCAGAGCTGGAGGGTCACGGCTTCCGCTCTATGGGCTGTCAAGGCTGGTCTGCATTACAGGCACAAGTAAGCATTTGCAAGCTCCTCCTTGTACCTGTCTGCAGACAAGTAACGGGGGAAACATTCTCCTTCCCCCTCCTCCACTCTCAAATTTTTAAGAAGGAAGAGATCGGTTATGTCGCAGCCAATGGATAGTTTTAGCTCCATGCACAAACTGCTGGGGGAGGGAAGCTTGTGTTGAAAAACCAACGTCTGGGGACACTGTTTACGGCAAAACTTTGGAAAAATTGCGGTGACCTACACAGGTTCTATTTTATGTCAAAGAGTCTTAAATATAACCTTTCATTTCCCTCTGAAAAGTGAAAAAACAAAAAGGGCATTTCAAAACAAAGTTTAGTGCTGAGAAATGCTGAAGCAACACCAACATTTAATCCCCTCCCCTCTTTTATTATTCTAATGCCCACCTGCCACATTCAAACTCAGTTTACAAGCTAGGAGTATACGAAATCTTGCCATGTTTTTATGACTGTTTCTATTACTGGGGACACACAAGCACCCCAAAAACCTTGCCTCATTCTATGATCATTTAACAGACTGCTGCAATTTTAATTGTGGCAGGCACTACTCTTTGCCACGTGTTTGTGATACAGTCAGTGCTCTGCTGCCGCAGGGCAGTTACGACCAGCCACGGGCTTGATGTGCCAGCCGCCATGCAGGGGGCTGCAAGCTCTGCTGTGCCTGGTTCTCACCCAGAAATCGCGCTCTTGTGCACAACTTGGCTGCTTTGCCTGGCAGCTTCCCGTACCCCTGGGAATGCAGCAGCAAGCGGGTTCAAGCAGGTGGTTTTTCTTTGTACCCGGCTGGCCTGAGTGACCTTGTTTGTATGCTCTACTTGTACCATGACAGTCCCAGTACCTATTTTACTGAATCCTGCGTGACTTTGTCCTCAGACAGACTTATCTGCAGTTCCTTTGAACATCTAGTCAGCTTACCAAATGTGTGCTGGAGAATTTACGTACTTATCCATGTCTGTCCAATAGAGGGCAGAGCCCTCGGACACCAGCTGACATGCAGCAACTTAAAAAACCCAGCCCCATTTCTTCTAGGTGCACCTTCAGCGCATAAAACAATCGGTGTCTATAGGAATGTTGCCAATTCTCTATACATACAGTAAATCAAATAAATAGCAGCATTATAACAGTATGACGGGAAAACATGTCAGCGAACCAAAATAATTTCCTTTTTATTTCCAAGCCTCACTATTTTCTCCTTCTACAGCCCTTGCAGCGTGTCTGGGCTGGTCCAGACTTGGCAGGTGCTCTCCCTCCTGCGCAGAGGGTGTCCAGGCCAAGCGCAGCTGCTGACGCCCAGTACAGGATGGGGGAAATCAGGGGTTTCTTTCCTTTTGCATAATGGGAAAAGCACCCATTAATCTATGCTTCTTTTTCTTTTTCAAAGCAGCAGAGGCGGCGAGGCAAAGGGAACGAAGGTGTCTACCAGGTAGGGAACATATCCAGCACCTGCTCCCCTCGTCTATCTTCATCGCTGAACTGTAGCCTCTGGTTACATATCTCACCACACTGTTAGCAATGTATGATGAAGCAGAGCTTTCAAAGCACCTTTCTGAGGACAGTTACTCAGATTCGGGGCAAAGACTGCACTGCTGGTACTTTGATACAGTGGCTGCATGTTCTAAACACAACTGGCAGGAACACTTGTTTAGCTGCTCTGGTAGGAACCATTTCCACAGTCCTACATCTTGGAGAACCACCTTTTGACTGCGGCAGATGACGCATACAGTTCTGTCTCCGAGTTGTTTATTGCTTAAATGGAAGCCTTCAGGTTGCCAAGCAGCTGATGTAACTCAAAGCATCGGCGGGTCAGCCCGTGTCC